TCGAGTGGTAGCTCTGGCGGCGGGCGCTGTCAGTACCAGATCCAGACCGGTCCTCGCCGCGGCTTCGTTTGCGGTAAGATCGGTCACTCCACTCCCCGCTGTTTTCGTCGCCTGGACGACCTCTTTCGTCAGCGCTTCGGCCCGTCGCCAGACCTCCCGGACTGGCACAGCATGCTTAGACGTAGTATTCCGATTTTTTACCTGGACATGGATGCCATTGTTTCTGCTCTGCATGTGATGTATGCTGATGACTCTAGTGTGCTTCCAGCTTATTACTCACTGTTGCCTAGTGTAGGTGTGCCTAGTGTAGCCTCCCCTGCTGCGTCAGGCGTAGGATCCTCTGCTTTGTGTAGTCTTGGTGCTTCCGCCGTCGTTCCGTCGCCAGACGCCTCTGCTTCGCTTTCCTTCACCTTGGACTCTGGCGCTTCTCGGTGTTTCTTCCGCGACTCCACCACCCTGACGCCGCTTCCTGTTCCTGCTGCCGTTTCTCTTGCTGACCCCTCCGGCGGTCCGGTAGTCGCCCGCAGTTCCACCACCCTTCCCTGTCCGGCGGTTCCTTCGGGCTCTCTTACAGGTCTGCATATCCCCTCGTTCTCCAGGAACCTAGTTGGTGTCGGCTGCCTCCAGGACCTTGGCGTCACCACTACGTTCCCTGGTCACGAGCGGTATGCTGTCTGTACCGAGGCGCCACTGGTGCCCCCCTGTCCACGTTTCCCCAGGACCCTGTGTCCGGCCTGTTCACTCTGGACACCGTGACCCCCCCGGCTGGAGCGCTCACCCAGGTTGCTGCTGCCTGCTCCTGTCGGTCCCTCACTCACCCGACCCTCCTTTGGCACCACCGCCTAGGTCACCCTGCGCTCCCGCGTCTGCGTCACATGTCCCAGCACGGTCTTGTCCTTGGTCTCCCAGGTTCTCTCCCCGCGTTTCCCTCCTCCCCAGCCCCACCTTGCACGCCCTGCGTCGAGGGTCGGCTTCGCCGTGCCCCTCACTCCTCCTCGTTTCCCCCTACCGCCGCGCCGCTGCAGACCCTGCACCTGGACGTCTGGGGCCCCGCCCCCGTCCATGGGCCGCGTCGAGAGCGCTACTTCCTTGTGCTCGTCGACGACTTCACTCGTTACACCACAGTCTTTCCCCTGGAGCGCAAGGCCGACGTGCCTGGCGCTCTCATCCCCTGGCTTGTCTCTGCGCGTGTCCACCGCGGTGTCCCTGTCTTGCGTCTTCACTCACACCGTGGTGGCGAGTTTGCCTCCGGTGTCCTTGGTCGCTTTTGTCGTGCGGAGGGCATCACCCAAACGTTTACCCTACCGGACTCCCCACAGCAGAAAGGGGTCGCTGAGCGACGCATCGGTTTGGTCATGGAGGTGGCTCGCACCTCCATGATCCATGCCGGTGCACCCCATTTTCTGTGGCCGTTCACTGTGCGCTACGCTTCTCACCAGCTTAACTTGTGGCCGCACCCTCAGCAGCCGCAGGTTTCGCCGACCCGTCTTTGGACTGGGTCTCCTGGTGACGCGTCTGCGTTCCACGTCTAGGGCTGCCTTGCTCACGTTCGTGCCTCCGGCACGGACAAGCTCACCGCCCGCACTCTTCCCTACGTCTTCCTCGGTTTTCCCCTTGACGCGTCCGACTGGCACTTTTACCACCCGCCGTCTCACCGCTTCTTTCACTCTCGTGACGTCACCTTTGACGAGTTCGTCCCCTACTACCGTCGCTTCCCCCACCGTGGTCCCCCGGTTACCCCCCCCCTGTTCCTGGCCACCCCTTCCCCGGTAGTCCCTGCCCCTCCTCCTCCTCCTCCCCGTCCCGCCCCCTCTGGTGTGTCCCACGTCACCCCCCTTCCGTCGGTGGACCCGGTTGAGGAGTCTTCTGACTCTGGTGGCCCTCCTGTGCAGTCCTCCCCGGCTGCCCCTCCCCCGGTGTCCCCTCCCCAGTCCCCTCCTCCACCGCCTCTGCCGCCTCTGCGGCCGTCGTTGTCGCTGCCGCCGCCGCCACTGCCGCCACTGCCGCCGCCGTCGCAGCACCCGTTCGCTGACTCTGGGGGTGCTCGTCCCGGTAGCCCTGGGGGTGGTCCCTCTGGGGGTGCTGGTGTGGAGAGTGCCGGTGGTAGCCGAGGAGCAGCTTGCGGTCCCGGTGTCACCGTTGTGCCGCCGCAGCAGCAGTCCCCGCCGGTGTCAGCCCTTCGCCTGCTCGGTCTTCCGTCCCCCGACCCTGCGTCGGTTCCTCCCCGGCCGTCTCCTCCTCTTCCTGTCTACGGCCCTGTCTTCCCTCCGCCGGACTCGCCCCCGGCCCGTCTCCCCCCTCGTTCCCCTCCTGTGTCCCCTCCTCTGTCTCCTGACCCGACTCCTCCGTCGCACGTCTGGTTTCACCGTCCCTCCCGTGCTCGTCCTGCCTCGCCTGTCTTGCGCTCCCACCCTATGTTGCTTCGTTCCCACGCGTCTCGTCCTCCCCTTCTGCCGTCGCCTCCTCCGTCCTCCCTTGTTGTTGCACCCCCCCCGCTGTCTGACTACCTTCGTGCCGCTCGTCCTCTCGTTCCTCGGGTCCTTGCCTCTCTCGTTACCGACCCGTCTGTTCCGGCCTCGTGCCTTGACGCTCTTGTCGCTGCTGTCGCTGACTTCGCCTCTACCCGCCGCCTTGACTACGCCTCCGCTCTGGTCTCTGACCCTGCCTGTCCTCCGTCTGTCGGGGGTGCTCCTGCCCTTGGCAGTGACGTCCTGGAGGACCGCCAGTTCGAGCTTGCTTTCCTGTCCGAGGCTGCTCCCCATCTCTGTTCCATGCTGCTAGTCCCTGAGGGTGACCCAGACGCTTTCGACATCCCGACCCCTCGCACTTACGCTGAGGCGACTTCGGGACCCAGGGCCTCGCAGTGGATAGCTGCCATGGAGCAGGAGATGGCATCTTGGAGATCCACCGGCACCTTCGTCGACGCAGTTCCCCCACCTGGGGTGAACGTAGTCGATGGCCGCTGGCTCTTCAAGGTGAAGCGCCCTCCTGGAGAGCCGCCTGTCTTCAAGGCGCGCTATGTGGCTAGAGGCTTCAGTCAGCGCGAGGGGGTGGACTTCTTCCAGACCTTCGCTCCGGCCCTGAAGATGACTACTCTTCGGGTTCTGTTACACCTAGCTGCTCAGCGTGACTACGAGCTTCACTCCCTCGACTTCTCCACTGCCTTCCTTCAGGGCAGCCTACACGAGCAGGTCTACCTGCGGCGCCCTCAGGGCTTCACTGGCACCTTCCCTCCTGGGACCCAGTGGCTCCTCCGGCGCCCCGTCTACGGCCTGCGCCAGGCTCCCCGTGAGTGGCACGACACTCTCCGTGCTACGCTTGCTGACCTGCAGTTCTTTCCGTCTTCCGCAGACCCTTCACTCTTCGTTCGTGCTGGCCAGATTCCGTTCTACATCCTTGTTTACGTCGACGACCTGGTCTTTGCCACAGCAGACAGGGACGCACTGGCCTCTGTGAAGGCAGAGCTGCTGAAGAGACACACGTGCACTGACCTTGGAGAACTGCGCCGTTACCTTGGCTTGCAGATCTCCAGGGACAGAGCTGCGCGCACCATCACCCTGACTCAGTCACACTTGGTGCGCCAGGTCCTTCAGAGGTTCAGCCTTCAGTTCTCCTCTGCACAGCCCACCCCTCTGCCTGTAGACCACAGACTCTCCGCTCCAGTGTCTGAGGAGTTGGTAGAGCCCAGCGGCCCCTACGCAGAGCTGGTGGGTTGCCTCATGTACCTGATGACTTGCACTCGCCCAGATCTCGCATACCCTCTCAGCATCCTGGCTCGCTTTGTGGCCACAGGCAGACACCGACCGCAGCACTGGTCTGCTGCTAAGAGGGTTTTGCGTTATCTTGCTAGTACATCGGGCATGGGGTTAGTGCTAGGAGGACGTGGGCCAGTGGTCCTTACTGGACACACAGACGCTTCATGGGCAGACGACGCTGAGACACTTAGGTCTACCCAGGGCTACTGCTTCAGCCTTGGCTCAGGTGCCGTCTCGTGGAGAGCTACCCGTTCCTCGTCTGTTGCGCAGTCCAGCTGTGAGGCCAAGATCTACGCTGGTGCCATGGCGGCACAGGAGCTCCGCTGGCTGACCTTTTTGCTCACTGACTTAGGTGAGCGGCCTAGCTCTGCCCCGGTCCTGTTCGCTGACAACAGGGCCATGGTCCTCCTGTGTCAGGAGCCTCGACTCGAGGGCAGAGCGAAGCACATTCAGCTGCGGTACTTCCTCCTGCGTGAGCTACAGCAGCGACGTCAGGCTCGCGTAGTACACTTGGCCTCAGGTGCCAACACGGCTGATATCTTTACGAAGGCGCTTGCGCCTAAAGATCATCAGCGGCACTGTGTACAGCTTGGTCTAGTTCCTGTAGCCTCTCACTTGCTAGGACCTTGACTTTGTACTGTCCTTTATACGTATACTCAGACTGGACTTGTGTCCTCTCGCAGTGGCTGGACTAGTAGTGCTGCCCTGCCCTTGTTCTTGCCTTGTTTGTACTCCTTCTGACTGGTCTCTCAGACCCTTGTCTCAGAGGTTGGACTAGTAGTGCCGCCCTGAGCTGTTTGTTTAGGGCATTCCCCTATGCAGTCTAGGGGGTGTGTCAAACATGTGTATTTGTCATGTTTGTATAGATTGTATAGGGTCGCCTCTTAGAGAGTACAACACTTAGGTATATCTTTGTGTACTCTCACTCTATCTATCATTCAATTTTCACGTTTGATAACCTAACCTAGCGTGATACCATATCAAAGTTAGAATGAATGACTAGAATGAGGCAAACAAGGTGGTTTTGTCTAAGGGTTTGTACCCTCTAATAGTGCGCACCTATCTAGCCTATAAGACATACACAATATGTTTGGCACCACCGGCGGGGAGCAAAGCCAAACACTGTGTGGCCCCTGAGTGCAGCCGGCGCTGCTCTCACCAGCAGTTACTGCTGGGCTGCTGTGTGCTCACCTCAGGATGTGTATGCCTACAATACTCACGAACTCAGTAACTGACAGAAAGTTGCAAGTCTATCGAGTCAAGATACACCACATGCAAGAGACTGCCTATACAAGTTGCTCCTGTACAAAAACATGACTTGAGTTTCCTAATGTAGAGCAGACGGAGTGCTGCAGACAGTCAGCTCATGGACACGAGGTGGGGGGGGGGGGGGCAGGCAGCTGTAGCAGCTCACGCTGGCTGCCACTGATGTACGCTTGGCGCAGCCGAGGCAGGGTGGCGACCCCAGCGGGTACAAAGCTTCTACGGGAATACCATGCGCTAATCTCCATGGATGTGAGGTTCTGCAACTCAGCAAGGCTTGCTGGCAGCCTGTCCAGCCTTGAATTCTGCTGAATTTTCAGCTTTCGCAGCTGCGGTAGTGTTGATCCAAAGTCCTCTGGAAGCCTCTTTAGCTGATACGACCAGATCGCCAGCTCCTTCAGTTGCGAGAAAACCAGAGGGAAGGGAAGCTCCGTGGCCTCGTTATCCAATCGCAGGTACAAGCGCTCCAGACACGACAGGCTCCTGGTAACGACCTCTCCATTCACCACCCCCGGCAGATGCAGCTTCAGATCTTTCAGATTTGGCAGCAGGGAGAAATCAGGACGAGGAGTTTCTTGGTCGTAATTCCCCAGGCTCAGAATCTCAAGTGACTGAGGCAGCGCTTCTGGGATTCAGCTCACATCCCAGCAGCTCCAACTCCTTAAGCCTCCCAAGGCTATCCAATCACCGTGGCACTGAAGCGAGCTCAACATACATCCCCTGCTCCTCGGGTACGAGTTGCACTTCAAACTTGAGAACTTCAAGGCAAGTTAGACTTGAGAATGACTCCGGGAACTCCTCAAAGTTAGAGCTTTCGAGGACCCACACCTCCTGTAAGTGCTGCAGCTCCTGCATGCCTTCGGGAAACCTGCGAATGTTGCAAGCGTGGATTTCGAGAACCGTCAGGGAAGACAGCTGCGTGAATGAGGGTGGGAGAAACTCAAGCTCGTTGTTTCCATCCATATGGAACATCTGAAGACTACAGAGGTCCCCCAAGTCGTCTGGAAGGACCAACTGATCCATCTCTCAAACAAAAAACGACTTAAGAGCAGTAAGGCGACCGAAACCAGCTGGCAGCCAGGAAAGCTTGTTGCAGGACATCAAGGTGAGGGTCTGCAGTGAGGTGAGGTGACAGAACGAGTTAGGGAGCGCTGAGAGAGGCAAGTACTGCAACACCAGGACTTTAAGGGCCGGTAATCGTCCTAAGTTCCGGGGCAGACTGGAAAGGCGGGAACAGTTGGCAACGGCGAGAGTTTCGAGGCGGGTGAGAGAAGTGACGCTTGGAGGAAGCTCCACCAAGGACTCGCACCCGTAAAGGGCGACTTTGCGCAGGAACGGCAGCAGCTCTCCCAGGCCGTCCGGAAGGCGATGGAACTGGTTGCACTTGGAAATCAGCAGCTCTTCTAGGCGGCTGCATGGTGATCCTGATGGAAGGAATTGAGGACAGGATTCTAGGAATTTCGGCGACTGCAGGGAAGATGGTACCACCATGCTTGAAGGACCTGAGCGCCGACTGGTTTGTGATTCGGTGAAAAGGATTGAAAGATGGGTAAGTTTGGGGAGCTGAATGAGATGCCGATGATGCCAGGGAAAGCCGATGTAGACGGTGGTGAGAGAGGAGAGGTTGGTGAAACTGGGATTATCCAAGACGGCAGCATCGGTCAGAAGAACCGTTTGCAGCTTCTTCAGCTGGAAGAAAGATGCCGGGAACTCAGCATCCTTGGGAGGACGGAAGCTGCTGCAGACTCGTGCACTTCTGGAAAAGCTGATCTAGACCACTCGGCGTGATTGGGTGCTCAATCCGCCGTTCATCCCTCGGCGAGATCCTCCATCCCACATGGAGAGCCGTCAGATTAGGACACGACGACGCCAGGTGAGAGAGGAAATTGTCGTCCAGGGTATGGACGCTGCTGTCAGTCAAATGGAGATGCGTCAGATTCGGAATCTGGAGACAGCGACTGAGAGATCTTCCTGGAACACGCTGGATTTTCTTCTGAAGCAAAGTGTGGAAACGAATTCCTTGGCAAGGCGACGCCAGCGACTGCAGACTGACGCGTTGAAGAGGCTTACAGCGGCATCTGCGGAGGCAGGCGGAGTGGGAATCGGCGTCTTGAGCTTCTCGTCCATGTCAAATCTCACGGATCGCCACGCATGTATGTACTCCAAATCTGGGTCCAATGAGGCCAGCAATTTGTCCGCGTGGGATTCGTCAGAAGCGGGCCGTGAATGCCAGAGGATCCGTATGAGAAGATCATCAGTCAAGCTGTTGATAGCAGCGGGAGTAGCCATCTTGGACGTAAAGATTCCGGCGGTGAAATTAGCTGCTGATAGGTTGAGGGAGTAAGATCACTCGTAGACCTGAGACGGAGGTCAGTAATAAACCTTGGAAGGAGAGCACTCTTATTCCTTGGAAGGGAATTCAGTAGTACTAACCCAGGAGGAGATATTCCCGACATGCTGCTAGATGCTGCTAAATCGCCCCTCAGCGAAGGCTCGGACTGAAATCTCCTTGCGGCCCGAGCTGACTGCATATCGTCCTGGATTTAGCCCGGGCCACGTCAGCCTGGGCTTCATGTGATAGTGACTAGAATCACTTCAAGGGACTGCCGATTTCTAGCCTGTGCACACTTTGGCTCGAGCCCAGTTCTAAAAGTACGTCCTACAAATTCTGTATGCGGTGGTGTACGGTGACACGCGCTGGGAGGTGGTATTTGGGCTTCACCAGTCTGAACCTCAATTCACCGTATTGCACCTGTACAAACTGTATCCGGGACGTACTCTTGGGACACGCCCTAACTGCTGGCTTGGATGGGTGGAATGCAGGCAGGGGAAGGCGAGAGACTCAAGATGCTTCTATGTTTCTCCCCAGCATAAGGCACCAGGTTCCGTGCTGAAGTGTTGATGTAATTTCTAACGAACTAGGCGATAAGCCTTGTGCTATGATCCACATGATGTCTTATTCTCCACGTGAGTCAAAATCTGTACTATGAACAAAAAATACTCAGAACCACCTGCTGTCAATGTTTACAATCATAGTTACTTCACCGGGTATTACTGCATGTCTAACCTAATGCGTGGGTTATACCAGAGGACAGGACACCACGACCACTCTATGCAGTCACTACACCCACATCCTAAGCCCAGGCAGCTTCACCACTACCCAAAACCACGAGCTACGTCTCTCCTTATTTGAGCCTGGGTGAGCAGGCCATTGCAATGGCAAGAAGATAATACCAGCCGACCATTGGTGGTGGAAATCGGGTGATGGCTTATGTCCGCGCAGATGAAAGTCGATTCACCCATGTGTTACGATGATTGGAGGGACAATGGAGGCAACAGGAAGGGGGTTTAGAGTGGAGACGAATGCACTTGATGACCAAGGAGAAAAGAGAGGAGGCATGAGTGTGGGAGAAGGAAAGAGGGAGAGAGGGAGAGGAGGGAAACTAGAGGGAGGGGAGAGAGGGGGGAGGGGGAAAGGGGAGTGCTCGTGTGGGTATGCCTGGGAATGTGGCACTTGGAGGATCAGCCAAGGAGCAGAGTGAGCGAAACTATAGGATGACGCAGCTGCATTTATGGCTGCTCTCCTTGTAATGCTCGTCGTCATCATCGCTGCTTGACTCACTGCAAAGCAAGAACCATGCATGCCATGCCATGAGATACAAGGACATGCCACAAAACGGAGGCAAGCACATGTGGGTTGAATGAGAATTCCGTTCTCTGTTTAAAGTACCAGGGACATGTTCGTTCCTTATTCGTTCGGCTGCGGCAGTCAAAATCTACCCTAGTCCGATCCAATCAATAATCCAGAACGCAGTAACGGATAAGTCAGGGACGCACACGTCAGCAACTCAAGCCAAGCTAGGCATAGTTCACCAAAGGCCCAGTATGCTAAGCTGGACGACACATTAGGTTTTCAGCACCAGCACAATGCGAAATGCGTCGTCAGCACGAGCAAAGAGCACAGCGCGTGGCAAACAGCACAACGCACACACCTGGGTTCGAATTCCCGCACGTCTGTCAACGTCTGGCCCTCGTCATCCAACCACCGCACCTTCCTGCCTCCCCTCTCGCCATTCTGAGACCCACCCGTCGCCTCTCCCCTCGTGCTTCCCACTACCAGCAATGCCTCCTCTTCCCCACCCTCTCTCACTCCCGGCTCCTCGGTCCCTTCGACTAAAATCTCTTCCCCCTCGATCTGTTCTATTAGCCCCCCCCCCACCTCTCCTCGTTGCTCTGCATTGAATAAACCCCCTCCCGCTTCCCCCTGCGCCCCGTCCCCGCGCGTCCCTCCCCCTTCCTCTGCTGCTCCCTCGACTCCCCCTGCAGGATTCTCCTTTCCCTGTGCTTCTCTTTCCCCTCCTTTTCCGCCTCCGTTGCTCTCGCCCTGCGCATCTCCCGCCCCAACAATTGCTGCGGATGGTATTCCGCCGTCTACCGCCTCCGCACCCACTTCCCCGACAAAATTCCCCCTCACTTCCGCAGCCTCCGCTTCCTCGCCCAAATAGACAGAACCCCCGCCATCCCCCCCGCTCCGCGCACTTTCCGCCTCCTCCCCCACTACTCCCTGCGCAATCTCCGCGTCTTCTTCCGCCACTCCCAGCGCAACCCCGTTCACTGGACCCCCGTGTGCCTGCCCAGGCGGAGCGCCTTTCGGTTGCAACAGGTGTGCCTCGTGATCGTCGGGCGACGTCATACCATCTTCGCGGTTGTCTAAATGCTCTTCTTCTCGTCGCTGCGGCTGCTGCTGCTGCTGCTGCTGTGGGTGTTGATTGTGCTTGGAAGCACCTGAGACGTCCGTTGCCGCGGCGCCAGACAGGGCGGATGTGACAGTAACGAGGGGTGGGTCCAGCGCAGCAGCTCCCAAGGCAGCGGGCAGGGCCCCCGGGAGGGAGGGCCCGCCACTTGACGCATCCACGGTGATGGTGGCTGAACGGCAGCTCCTGATCTCTCAAAGGCTCGGCGCGCTGTGACAAGGTACACGGCTCGAGCATCTAATGGCTAGCCGAGCATCTAATGTTACTCGCGCATTTTGATGATCACTGACGGTTTGATGACCTACGCAGCGGGTCTTACGAGGCAGGCGAGGGTAAGGAGCGAGACTACCCTGTCCAAGAGAATGTCATTGGGGAAATGTACCAGAATAATGAAGTTTATACAAAAAGTGCGATTTCTATTCCGTGTCACGTTGGCCTACGCGATATACGTGGTGTTTTGGCTCGGGAAGTAAAAACCCTACTGTTAGCACGAATCAAGCAGTTTGCTTGACCAGAACACTTGCCTTCGTTCAGCGAGAGCGGAAGCAAAGCCTTGGGCGCGAAAGGGCAGAGCAAAAGGTATGTTGGGCGATATCCACTGCCTCCTAGTTAGAACTTAAAGGATGACGCGTGGTCGATTGGATGGCAGGACCAGTCAAAATGCGTGCAGCATAAATAAAGCATTGGTAACTCACTGCAAGGGCGATTAGGTGGGTAAGGAGGGAGGGACGTGGCATGAGCAAGGAGGGAACCAGACAGAACCTGGGCCTGGTTGGTCGCGAGCTACTGTGCTGTTTTCCCATTAGAAAACGTTTTCTGACAATGCGTTGCACCAGAAACGTTTCCCAAACTCTCCGCTCGCGTAAGCGTTTTGATGAATCGACTCCTGGGCTCGATTTGGCAGCCCGATATCCAATTGAGGCACTAGAATTGTACACCGGTTAATAGAGCGAATTTAATGGGCAATAAAGGGGGAAAAGGGGTACTGTACCTGGTGGTTCTGTGCGGTGCTGCCTATGTTCTAGAAACCCGTCTCCTCTGCGTCAGCGGCGTACTGTTCACTCGGGCAGAAGAGCTTTCAGCAAAGCCATGCACTTGCCGCAGGGGAAACGTGGGTGGGATGGCTGGTTCGCTTGGGCTAGGAGGATGATTCGAGTTGGCGGGAAAAGATGAAATGGGAAGGCCTGAACGTGGGCCTCGTTCATGATACAGCGCATACTTGTCATCCGAACTCTTAGGCAGAAATCTTTATTATACGGTTTTTGGAGGTACGTTATTTCTACAAGGAACTGTCCAATTTCTCGTGCCAACAGAGACAAACACCTATCTGCAGTTAAATGCAGTGTCAAATTGTAGTATAGTACACTAAACGGTGCTAGTATCACCAGCAGAAGTTAGTCACATCACATAAGCAGCACAGAAAACCCCTCTCAGCTATTGCTCACCAATCACGGCTTCAGCAGCTCAGCTCACCCTATGAAACCATATAAGCCATCAGCAGAATCAATGACCCACACTCAACCTACCAGTACCCTTTCCAGGAACCAAGGGCCGGTGTCTCCACTATCAGGCTAAATGAGAGACCCCTTTCTCAAGTGTGTGCATGGCACACAGAAACTGCACACACTCTCGGAAGAGGGTCAGGTGAGAGAAGACTAAGCTGCATCATGAGCCGGTGGGGAGTGGGGAGGCAATGTGAAGTGAATGTATACGGTAGGTGGTGCACCCCATGCCTCCGCCAAGGGAGCAACAGCATCCCGGAAGAGCTCTAACGGCTGCTTAGGAGTCAGGACAATCAGGTTGCTGGGAAAAGGCTGAAAACAGCTGCACGCAGACAGAGGAGACTGCTGCAGCACTACCCAGTGCCCACTGGCGCCATGCTATGGTGTACACTCCCCGCAGGAGCGCGCAGGAACGAGGGGATTGGCGGTCAATGGCAGCCAAGCGAGGGGAGGAAGCGAGCAGATGGATGGGGAGCAGATGATGGGGAGCAGATGGATGGGTAGGATGGGAGCAGGCTGGAGGGATGAATGGCAGTGGCCTTGCAGGGAGGGAGGCTCAAGAAGAGAAGAAGCTTGTGTCAAGCACATGCCGGCAGGGCGCCATCTGGTGAGCGCTGCAACCCAAAACGAAAAGCTCCAGATGGCCTCGAAAGCACGGAGCAGCAGCAGCAGCAACAGGGAGAAGCGGCAGCAGCACCCAGAGAGTACGGTCCGTCTACCAACTCCAAAACTAGACGCACAAGGGCATAAGCTATCCAATTTCCTCATCCCCCCCACCCCCCCCCCCCCCCGTCCCCCCTCCCCCTCCCCCTCCCCCCCCCTCCCCTCCCAAGTCTTTCCGAGCACATCACAGCACTACAACCGGCAGCACGAGCACCAAGAGCACCACGATCACGCGTCCGTCATGTCTTCCTGCAGCTCGTTAGGGGCAATGAGGCCCGGGATGGACAGCATGCGCTGCCGCTCCGCCTCCCGCTGCGCCGCTGCCTCCTCCGCATACAGCTCCTTGTTGTCCTGCCACACACACAGGGCGAGAGCGCACGAGGGGGCAGGGGGGGGCAGAGGGGCAGGGGAAAGGGGGAAAGGGGAAGAGAACGTGGGGCAGGGGGAAGGGGGAACGTGGGGACGGGGTGAGGAGAGAAAGGCATATGTTGAGGGTGGGGATAGTGTGGGGAGGCAGCGCGTACAGCTTAAGGCAGAGGATCAGCACGACATTTAATCTCCTGCAGTATCAGGAGTAAATATTATACCTATTCTATACCATTGACGGCACACAGTGATAATGTGCGCAGCTGACCAACACCCACGGTTGGACCCACCGTATTAGAGAGGGTGTTTTCTAGGATTCTAAAAAACACTCAACACCCTGGACTGGACCCACCCACCCACCTTATCAGAGAACTCCTTGGACTGCACAAGGAAGTCCCGCAGGTGGTTCTTGAACGTGGCTGTGTCCGCCTTGGCCGTCATCAGCCCGCTCACAAACTGAGTGATCTGCTTCCCATCCCATGCCAGTCAGTCAGCACACGGCGGTTGCAGCCCCAGCCGCATAAGGGAGGGAGAGGCGAAGCAGCGAGAGGGTTGTTAACAGCCCGGAAGGTAAGGCAGGGGATGAAATGGAGGGAGGCTGGGCAGGGGAAAGAGAAAGATGGTGCGGAGGGGAGGGGCAGACACAGCCAGGCGGAGGGAGGGAAAACGCAAAAGCAAAAACTGCGGGGACGCAAGGGGCAAAGCAAGATCCAGACGCTGGCTGCATGTGAGCGTCAACGAAAGTCGACCACATGCTATGGGGGCCCACGGGAGGGAGGAAGGAGGGGGAAGGAGGGAGTGTGCGGGAGCACACACCTCTTGCGGCGTCATGTTGGGGAAGGACGTGGAGAGCAGCTTGACGGTGTAGTCGCACACGAAGGCCGCGTTGGACGGGAAGGCTGTGGGCCCCAGCGCCGCCACGTCCCATAGAGGCTGCGTCAGCACCCCTGAGTCCGCCTGGCGGGGTTGGATGGGGGGAGGGCAGGGGCGGATGGAAGGACGGACGAATTAAGGGTGACAGCAAATATGGAGGAAGGCGCCATGTCCCATAGCGACTGTGTCAACACCCCTGAGTCCGCCTGGTGGGGTGGGATGGAGGGGGGGAAGCAAGAGACGGAGAGAAGGAAGGACAAACATAGGACAACAATTGACAGCAATTGACAACAATTGACAACAATTACTGTATGTTCCTGATTCGTGACTGCAGGAGTTGGGCACGGGTTGCTGGATGTACGAGGCAAAAGATGTGTCATACGTGCGTGCATTGACGGGCACACTCACGAGGCAGAAGAGATGTTGCAGAATGAGCGTGTGCAGCTTAAAGCCCGGCTTGTGGAAGGTGTCGGTGAGCACGGCAAATATTTCCTGCTCTATTGTCAGGAAGTACGTCTGGTGGAACTGGTTGCAAAACTCCGAATTCTGTTACACGGCCAAAGGGACACACAACACAAAGCAGAAAGGAATGAGGAAGGGAAGCAGAAAGCAGAGAACCCCTCGCGCACAGAAAAAAAGACGGGTAAAAAAAACAGGGCAGAAACGGGGGGGTGGGTGGGGACAGCTTTGGAAAACGTGTTTGGGGGTCACGCACCTGGAAGTTGGAGAGCATTTCAAGCAGCAGGTTGAGCCCCGTCTCTGCGATGTTGCGCTCCGTGTGCCGGAACGCCCACACAATGCTGTCCATCACCAGCTTCAGTTGCTGCCGGGGTGAGGGGGACGTGGGGGACGTGTGAAGTCCAGGGAAGCGGGAAGGGGGGGTGGATCGGAGGGCGAAGGAAGATGAAAAAAAGGGAACAGAGGAGAAAGGAAAGGATGCAGGAAAGGAGCTAAATCCCGTCAAACAACAAGAAATGAGAAGGCTACAGAAGATAACTTGGCTGGGGATCTGCACAGCACAGACAAAAGCGATTGGCAGCCGGCTTTTGAGTTGACTCTCAGAAGCAGTGGACCTGGCAGTCGGGACTGAAGCGAGGGGGGGGGGCAGGGAGCGGACCTGGGGCGAGAGCGTGAAGAGGGAGCGGAAGCAGTGGCAGGCGATGGCGCGCAACAGCGAGAAGAACTTGAGGCGGTGCTCAGGGTAGTCCTCAAAGTTCTTGGTGATCATGTCGAGCGTGCACTCAAAAACGGCTTCGAATATGCGTGGCACCTCCTCCATCATCTGCCCCTTCAGCCTGCACGCACCGCACCGCACCGCATCGCATCGCATGGAAGAGGGGAGGGAGGCGGGTGGGCAGGAATTAGCAGCAGCAAGAAGTGCCGAGGGGAAGGACATGCACGTACAGGGCAATGAAAAAGTACTGGAGACACGGGGCGGCTGAAAGCGGAGGCACAGTGAGCAAAGAGCGGACGGAGGGAGGGGGAGGAAGGAGGGGGGGGGGGGCCAGGGAAGGCAGAGTGATCCCTTGAGAACTGGGCGTGTATGCTGGAGCGGCGGCAGCTGCAGCGCTCTTACTTGTTGACGATGGTGGCGAAGAGCGAGAGCACCTCAGGCTCTCGGGCGTCGGGCACGTTGCGCGCATAGTCCCCGAGAATGGGGTCCATCATGGCAGGCACAAACTGCTTGGCGATCAGCTCCAGGTCCTCCGCCTTGTCCACAAACGTCTCAATCAGCTTCAACGTCTCCCTCTTTACAGACCTGTGGGGTGTGCACAGTGCATCAAGATAGAAAGCACCAAGTCAAGAACCATGGTAAAGGCACTAAGCGCGGGTTCACAGCTACTAAAGACTGTGTTGCAGCAAGAGCAGGAGCAAGGAGGGTGCGCCCACCTGAGCAACTTGACTATGGAGCTCCTTGACGCGTACGGCCCTCCCTCTGTGATCTGTGTTGAAATGAGCTCCGAATACATTCTGGAGAGCACACAGATGGGGAAGCAGGACACGGGAAGACGAGCGAGACGGGGGGAGACAGGGGGAGGAGGGGACAAGGAAGCAGGAAAGAGGGAAGGGGTTTGAAAAACGAAGGGGCAGTGAGTAGTAGCATGAGAGGGCACACCTCTCACACGCGCTCACACGACGGAATGACAATGGGGGGAAGGGGAAAATGGGGCTGGGGAAAAGTTTTGAGGCGCCTAAAAAATGGGGCTGGGGAAAAGGGTCGGAGGAGAGGGGAGAGTGGAAGGAGGGGAGGGCAGTGAGGGGAGAGCGAAAGAAGGGGGAAGAAGAGCGGGATGACCTGTAGACAAAAGAGAAGGGCTGGCCGAGTGACCTTGTAACGAGGCGACTTTCCAGTCGACTCAAAGGTCATCTCGTCCGAGGGACGGGGGCATGCAGGACGCATGCACGTACGGACCTGTAGACGTTGAGCATGCACGGACCTGTAGACGTTGAGCATGTTGAGGAAGATGAGGCGGATCTGCGAGAGGAAGGGCTGGCCGAGGGAGCTGGCGACGGCCGTGTTGGTCTGCAGGATGTTGAGGATGGAGCGGATCACCTCGGGCTGCTTCAGCACGTCCACGCTCTGCGCCGCCTGCCCTATGATCTCCGCCCACCGCTGGTGTGGGTGGAGGGGGTGGGGGGTTATAGGGGGAACGCGGATGTGAGGAGAGAAAGGGGAACGGATGTCAGGCGAGGGATGGGGGGGGTTGGAGGGATGGGTGGGTGTAGCCGTGAGCAGAGGCAGAGAGGGCTGGAGCCAGGGAAAGCGGGAGAACCCCAAAACAGTGGGAGGGCGAGGTAGGTCGGAGGAAGGAGAGATAAAGCGACACATGGTACAGGATAATATTGCCAAGGATGTGACTAAGGGCCAATGAATGCAAAAGACAAGTCAACACACGGTGGGCATGCGGTTACACACAGTGGGCCTCTAGGACATTTACCGAGTTGGGCAGTTGCATGAGCTTCTCCAGGTACTCCTCCCGCCGCTGCACATCGCCCTCCGCCTGGATCATATACCCCACCTGGAAAGGGGAACGAGAGGTTGCGGGAAGCGTACCAGTGGGGGCCAAAGTCAGAGCCAGGGTAGTCAGGAGAGAGAACAAGTATCACTGCAAACCCTCAAGATCATGGAAAGTGGAAAGGACGGGAGGGGGGATACAGACAGACGCATGGAGGGAGAGCAAAACCGGCCAGCTGGACTGTCAGGCAGAGGGGAGCAGGCAGGTAAACGAGGAAGCAGGCAGGAATCGGGAAGAGCAGGGCACGTACGGCTTCGTAAAAGGTGTGGATCTGGTGCGGCTGCAGGTCCAGGATGGTCGTGGCCAGCCCTCGCAGCAGCTCCGCCACAAACGGCTCCGACTCGCCCACCTGCACGAGGACAAACAAACCATCGCGGCTTAAAAAAAAAAAGAAGAAAAAAAATCACGTGGCTATGCCTGAAACGCCACACAACTGCATCATGTTGGACGCACTGGGCCCAGAATCAGGATGAGGAAGGGACTGGGTTGGAGGTCTTATGATTCCACTCTCAAACTCGCAGATTCACTCACCTGCATGATGACGAACTTGCGGCGGCACTTCTGCACGATCTTAAGGAAGGTGTCGCACGCCATGTCCTGCACGCCCGGGTGCGTCTCGTGCATGAACTCAAACAGCTTGTTCACCACCGTCTTGAGGAACTTCCAGTGCGCGCGCAGGAACCGCGGGTACTGCCCCACCACATACCTGCAGTAAGGGGGGGGGGGGGGGGGGGGGGGGGGGAAGGGGGTAGGGGGGAGGGGGTAGGGGTCAGGGCGGAGGAGAAGGCACAGGGGAAGATGAGGCGGGGAGAACAGATCCAGCTGGCTGAGATAAAGTGGGAGAGGGGGGGAAGTGGTGGGGGAGGTGGGGTTGAGTGAGGGGCGAACGGATGGTGGGGAGCTAGATGAAACAAGAGGTAGGAGGTCACATACATGATGTTACTGGCGATGACGGCCTTGTTGTCCTTCCCCCTGGTGATCTCGCACAGGTTCAACAGGTCCCTGATGACAGTGACCAGGAATCTGTTCTCCTGGTCCTCCACCATGGAGCCGGAGATGGACCCAATGGCCCAGCACAGCGTGTTGAGGTTGTTCCACGACCACTCCTCCCAGTTGAGTTGCTTTGCCAGCTTCTTCAGCATCTGCTGCTCCGTGTCCTCGTGGTCCAGGTGGCTCAGGTAGATCAGCGTCTCGCGCATGATCTGATGGGTGGGGAGGCATGCAGAATGACGGTACGGACAAGGGGTGCGGGAGGGCGGCGGGCGGGGGGGGTTTGAAGCGCCTCAGAAGTTTTGAGGGCGCGGCTCAAAAGTTGTGTCCTCGTGGTCCAGGTGGCTCAGGTAGATCAGCGTCTCGCGCATGATCTGATGGGGCGCACGGAAAGGCAAGGGGGAAGGGGGTGGTGAGGGGGAGGGACGGCTGTGGTGGGGGGGAAAGGGTGGGTGGTTGAGTTTGAGCCGCCTCAAAACTTTTGAGGTGACTGCTAAGGCTGCCTAAGAAGCTGTGTCCTCCTGGTCCATGTGGCTCAGGTATATCAGCGACTCACGCCTGATCTAACAGTCACGGGCACACAGAATGCCATAAAAGGTCACACGTGAGGGTGGAGAGGAAAGAGGAGAGAGCAGAAGGAAGACGTGGTGCATGTATGTGGTGCTTGTGTGAAGAGATGGTGCCCTGCATGCTGTGCTTGTGCGTGCGTTGCGGGGTGGATGGGTGGGGAGGGGATGGGTGAGAGGGGAAAAAGGAAAAGGGGGAGGCAACAGTCGTCCAAACCACAGCAGCAGCAGCAGCAGCAGCAGCAACCACCCACCCACACACCCACCCACCCACCCACCCACGCACCCACGCACCCACCCACCCACCCGTCCTCGCCCACGCACCTTGTACTGCACGAGCACATCGTTGTCCTTCATCGTCTCCCTCACAATGTTGCCATTCTCGTCCTCCACAATGAGCACCTCCTCCGGCTTCGCCATGCGGCTCACCATCAGCAGCCGCAGCTTGCTCAGCGGCACCGCAAACAGCTGCTTCCGGTGCGACACCGCCGCAGCCGACAGCCCCCCCGCCCCGGCCGCCCCTGTCCCCGTCCCATCCGCGGCCATCCCCGCCCGCCCTGCTGCTCCTGCTCCTCCTGCCACCCCCCCTGCTAGCCCAGGGCCGAGCCCCACGTGTAAACCGAGGGGTGCAGCAGGGGCGGAGGGGGCCTCCATGTTACATTCGGACTGGAATAGGTCGCAGACTAGCGCGTTCCAGTAGTCCAGGCAGACCTTGAAGATCTCATTGTCGTCCACGTAGGATATGCCGATGAGGTAGTCGAGACCAAGAATGAGGGCCGCCTCGTTCTCACTGTTCTCCAACACGCCTATATGCGACTGGAGGGAGAGGACGGGGGACAGCAGCAAGGGGAGAGAGGGGGAGGGGAGGCGATGGAAGAGAGAAGGTGCCACACAGATGCATGGAAGAGAAGACTTTCGGGATATATAAGAACAGAGAGAGAAGAACATTGGCTAGTGGCAGGTGAACCATGAGATGCACGGTTCTGATTAGTCAAACGCCCGTACCTTGAAGAATGCTGCAAAGAACAGGGCCAGATTCTGGATGAAAGCCTGCAAACGGAGACGAATGGCACATAGCACGTTATGGTCAAGAAGTTCCAGGTCTTCGAGAATTCTCACAAAAAAGAACTCGCAGCAAAGAGAGGAAGGGATGACGGTGGCCGCTGGCAGGTGTTCAGAGAACACAGGAGCAAGAGAGAGCGAGAGAGGGCGAGAGTGAGAGCGCGAGCGCGAGAGAGAGAGAGCGCGCGCGTGGTGTGACCTGTTCCTCATCGCTGCCGTTGGCGTAGGCCTCTGGGATGTTGGTGGCGGGCGGCAGCATGGCCTGCAGCTGCCCAATGAAGATGCCGTACAGCTTCACGTACTGCGTGTTGAAGTAGTCGCCGAAACTCAGCCCCGCGATCTGGTGTTTGGGGGGAGAGGGGGGTGGGGGGACGAACAGGTGAGCACGCAAGCAGGCAATATTTGAGACGCCTCGGAGACTGAGATGCCATACAGCTTCACGTGTTGACGCTGTTGCCGGAACTCAGCCTGGGATTTGGTGGAGGGGGGCGGGGTGGGGGGGGGGAAAGGGAGGGGAGGATGGGACACTGAGGCAGGGATGCAAGCATGCACTCAGGGAGCGAGGCGTGCGCACAGACACACGCACAACCAAGAACAGGGGATGCAGCAAGAAGAGCAGCAAGAAGAGCAGCAAGGCGAGCAGCCATGGGGGGGAGCATACAAGGAAGCGAGGCGACTGACCTCAGTGAGGCACTGCAGAGAGAGATTGCGGAAGGCAGGCATGGGGAAGAGCTTCAGCAACGACTCCAGCTGCCACCACAAGCAGAGCACGGAGCACACACGCACGGAAGAAGGGCAGAGGGAGAGGGGGGAGGGGGGGAGAGGGGCGAGAAGGGGGGCGGGGGAGGGGGGGGGAGGGGGAGTTTGGGGGTTGTAGCACGTTACAGGGTGGGTAAACATTGCCATGGAGTGAATGGCGGACAAGGACTAACATGAAGGATGGTGTCAGAACAGGCAAAAGAAGGCAAAAAGAAAGTGGGCGGTGTAGGAACGCACAAGGGTGGACTCGAAGATGTAGCCGAGGGGGATCCAGGAGAGGAACGCGTGCAGCGTGGCCAGTGTGGCTCGGATCAGCTCGGCGCGCTGTGATGCCGCCAGCACATATTGGCACAGCTCGTGCACCAGCTGGAACTCGCTGATTGGTGGAGAACAGCAAGGGGGGAAGGGAGGAGGAGGAGGGGGGGGGGGGGGGGGTGATGGGAAACGGGGGATTGAGAAGAGGCAAGGGGACAGCGGAAGGGGGAGGTTGCTATCGGCTACGCGCGATAGGATGCAAGAGCAGCGCAAGCGGATGTTGCAGTGTGGGTGACCGTGAGGCTAAACCCTAGCCTTGCAGGTGGAGCGGAGTGGAGTGGAGTGGAGTGGAGTTGAGTTGAGTGGAGTGGAGTGGAGTGGAGTGGAGTGGAGTGGAGGGAGCAAGCATACCTGTTGAGTGAATGCTTGAGCTCCTTGATCTTGTGCTGCGTCATCTCTCCGCGGGAGAAGTCAAACACCTCCTCGCTCAGCAGCTGCACGCACAGGAGAACCACAGAAACACGCAGCCAAGTGCACCACACACACAAACACATGAGACAGACGGCCACAGAGCACGCCAGATGAGAAATCCTGGTGAGAAATCAGCGGAGTTTGTACGGAGTAGGAAGAATCGGCGGAGCTTGTAGGAACGGAAATAGGAGGAGGTAGGAGGAGGTGGAAGGGACGGAGGCGAGGCGAGAGAGTACCTTGAGAATGACCATGCAGTTCTCGCAGAGCGTCTCGCTGCTCTTGGCTGCCGCCACCAGGTCTGGAATGAAGTTGGGCCACCGGGCTGGCCACTCGTGCTTCAGCACCTGGCAAGGGGGGTGATGGTGGAGTGAAGTGGAGAGAAATGACGAACACAAGAATTCGGGTTTGGTGTTGACGCTGTCTCTTATGAAACGCTCGCGCTACAAACGGAACACTGAATTGCACTTGTAGTAGCTCGCGCATGCATGCACCCACACGGATGGAAGGACAACAACGCGACGGGCCGGTAATGACGCAGAACAGAACAGAACAGATGGCGCAGAACGGATGGCTTACTGACCTGCACGAGAATGATGTTGAGCTTGTTCACGTACAGACGCTCCTTGCGAAACGACGCCTCGTCTGCTGATAGCTGGTGACCAGACACACACCACACAACACACACCATCAACAGCCATGGCAAGCAGCCATTGACAGGGCGTCAGCGGGTATAGGGGTTCTGGGACCGACAAAACCTTGGCCTACGAGAACCCTAGGGGTAGGTACAACAGCAGAAGGGGTGGGGAGAGTGGGGGGAAGAGGGGGGGAAGTGGGAGACAAAGACCGGGGAGAGGCAGGGTTTAGAAACTTGATGCGTCGAAACGGGGACGGGGTGCAAGGCCACACACCTTGACAATAAGGTCGGAGATGTAGTTCTTGATGCCGTCTCGTTGCTCTACAGGCAGCGCGTTCCAGCGGTACTTGATCACGCCCTCCAAGACCTGGCAGCGATACACGCAAGCGGGCAGGCAGGCAGGCAGGCACGAATTCCAACACAACAAACAGGCAAAATCAACCCTGTTGATCCTAGTCGTCGTCCCTACTCGCCAAGACAAAGAAACAAAGAAAACGGTAGAACTGAATGGTTGAAGCAGACAAAGAGAGAAACCGAAGACGAGCAGATGTGTGATGCTTTCACTCAGAATCTCAATCCACGAGTCCCTCTCTCTTAAATAGAGGCCATTCCTGTTCGTGGATTGAGGCAGTCACCTGGAGTGCGAAGAACTTGGTGTTGACATTCTGGCTCGTCTGCAGGATGGCCACCACTCGCGTCCACGTGTCCGGGTGCTCCTGCAGGGCCCTCAGAACCCGCTCCGCCGCCGCACGCTGTTCCACGCACGGGGACACGGGGGAGCGACGGGAACGGCAGGCACACGCATGGAGGGAGGGAGAGAGTGAGAGGGGGGGGAAAAAAGGGTCAACAGCCAGATTTTGAAAATCAACAGTGAGGGACAGCGATGACGCGCCGGATCGGCGCAAACACGGAAAACGCTTGTAGCTTGCAAGCCATATTCTCTTGCAAAACCCTCGTCCAACCGCGACGGCTAACGCGCGTCCTCGTAGTTAAAGCGTGAGGCCGACTGACAATCATAATCAAGAGCAGCTGAATTCCAGGTCAAAAGACAAGCGATATGCGAGCGATGCAACGACGCAGGGCGACGCAGGGCGTTGTCGTACAGATCGGCGCTGAAAGGAGCAAAAGAGAAACACACGAAAGTAAGAAAAAACAGTGAAGGCAGATCGACGACGACTTACCTCCTCTTTATTATCCGTGCTGTAGAGAGCCGCGATCGTCGCATCCAGGAGAGCTATGTCGAGCGGGATCGCGAAGTCCAGTAGCTGGTGCGCCATGGCGAATCCAACCACGAGAGTGGATTTGAAATTCAGCTACACTACCCTAGGTAGAAACGAGTGGAGTGAAGTAAAGCGCCTGGAAGATCCACCGGGTCTGCTACCCCTGGCGATGCACTGTTAATGAACTGCGGGACCTGAGAAATTTGGGACAAAACAAATGCAGAACGGAAATATCAGATTCTAAGGTCCTGAAACAAAGCACAAGCTATGAGTCCGGCCGCAACGTTGGTGGCGTCTACGCCCTAATGAAACCGGACTGAAGATGAAATAAACATGACAGACAACACGTCGTCGCACACCGGGGACGGGAATAGGGTGGACGGAAGATGGTAGATCGCGGATAAGGTCCACTTCCAGATCGAAGATAATACGGAAGATCAAGAATGAGCAACAGGGAGAAAGATCGCCGACAGGCGTACCTGACACAACCACGCCGATCTACTAATAATCCTCCTGACTAAGACCGACCGAGAGCCGCAGAATGAGAATCCCGAAATCGCTTCCTGTTAGCCTTCGCTCCGAAACAGATGACGATGAAACCCTAAAGGTCCACACAAGACAAGTCTACTGTAATACACTCAGAAACGTCTAAGCGCAAGAGCTGCAACTTGAAGCTAGATGGAAAGGGAGCAGGAAACAAGATCGCGGTGGTACTCCCGGTTTCAAATTGGTCACCTGGTTGTGTGCGTGTCCACTGGTGCCTAGCCAAAAGCCCAGGCAGGCTGGCAGGGGAGCAAGACGCAGGTTTGGGAACCGAGGTACAGTGTGCGTCTGTCAATGCAGAACATCGCGTATGCCTCTGTTCAGTCTACGATTTATAGGGATCTTGAAAACTTGATTCAATCAAAACCATCTAAACCCTTCGGTTGTGCCCGGTTTGCTGGTTTCCCCATAAATTTGGTCCTATTTGCTGAAGTGAACCACGTGTTTAGGGTGGCCAGGATCTAGAGTCTCAGAACTCAGCCACTAACCACTCAGTTAAAAGGGTTTGTTAGTAGCGGATCAGTGTGGCCCTTCCCCGAGGATCTTCTCAAGGGTAACCCCAGCAGGTCTCTCGACAACCCCCCTGGCTGGGATAGGCGTAGGACATGAGCGCCTCTGCAGCGCTAGCACTGGGAATTGAACCCGAGTCACCAATGCTCTGATAGCATGTTAGAACTCAGCCACTAACCACTGAGTTAAAATGGCTTGTTAATAGCGGGCCAGTGCGCCCATAGCCCCCCACGCTCTGCACCTGTGGCCCTTCCCCGAGGATCTTCTCAAGGGTAATCCCAGAGGGTCTCTTTGTCAACAAATATATTTATATACCGTAATCCCCCGGCTATTGGACCCTATGGTCTTCTTAGAATTACAGGAAAAAGTGTCAAGGTGGACATTAACGTGGATGGAAATTATTAGGACCCATGTTCACATATTTTACACGTAAGTGTCTATTGTGCTGGATGTAAGGCCTTTCTACATAGGGAGCTATATTTGTACCGCGGAAACAGAACCCTCTTGTCGTCATCTTTCCGTACCACCAGAATGACACGCGTCAAATTTCGTGTGTTGGCGTAGCGCGATAGCTCCTGACTGCCATCACCCACGCTGCTAGAGCGTGTTCCTGCAGCCTACTTTCTCGCTACTGTGTCGCGTAATTGTGACGCGGAGCAGTTTAGTGCGGTTCCAAGTGGTGTGACGCACGGTTGGAATTATCGAGATTCAAGGTGTGTTTCCAAACCTGATTTCAGGCGCGAATTTTTTACACGAGCGCAAATCTGTACAGTGCGAGATTGACGCGAGCTGATTCATTGCCTTAAATAACAGGATTCTGAAACGAATTGGATTGGAAAAACGTTTCTTCAAACACGCTCTTAGTCGAGGGCCGAATATGGGGAAGAGGAGGCTGGGAAGAGGCTCGTAAGAACATGCAGCACCAACCTGCTGCCAGCACCAACCGTACAGTAAAAGCATCAGCAGCAGTTTCTATTCTTACATGCAAAATCCTACAAGAAAACACAGCTGGGGGGTCCTAAAATGTTAAATGCCAAAAAGCGGGTCCTTACGGGGTCTGCCAAAATAACTGATCCCACCCCCGGGTAAAGGACCCATGGACTAGCTTACCGGCGGGTCCATTATCCGGGGGATTACGGTAGCTAAGCTAGGTCATATTTGTTCATAGCCTAGATAGTTAAGTTCTTAGAGAGTACAACCCTAGTTTTGTATCCCTCGACATTTTCCATTAGTCACAACTTTCCCGCTACTCTTGTTAAATTATATATGTTAGTATATAATTGTAGGCTTGGTAGTGGTTATAGAACATTACTGTAGAGGGTACAACACCCCTCCTTGTATCCCTCTCTCTTCTTTCCTAGCTCTCTTTTCTCTCCTCAACTTTCCTAGCACCTAAAACCTCTCGCCATTTCCATGGCTCCTCCTAGCTCCTAGCTAAACCTCATGCCATTTTATGGCTTCCTAGCTAAGCTAGTCTTCTCGACACGGTATCAGAGCCGGTTCCCTTCCCGGGCCTGCTCCCCTCGCTTCCGCCGCGCACTCCCTCCCGTCATGCCGCGTTGGCCTCGTCGCGCCGCGCTGGCCCCGTCAATCCGCGCTGGCCCCGTCGCGTCGCACGGGCCATGCTTCCGCTGCGTTTCCGTCCCCCTGTTCGCCGCCGTCGCGACCTTCCTACTGCCTGCCGCCGTGGCACCTTTTCCAAGTTGCCGCGGCGGCCCTTGTGCGCTGTCGTCCCAGCGTCGACAAACAGCCGCGGCGACGACGCTACGCTGTGGTGGCGCCGTCGTGATTCCGTGGCTGTGTCGTTGGCCTGGTGTCGTCGCGCACCACCTGCGTCGCTGCTGGATTTGCAGCCCGCCCGCGTGCCAGTAAGCGCCGCGCCAGCAATGGCGCCGCGCTGAAGATCCGAAGCCCCGACCCTTCCCCATTTCCTTTGTCCCCTCCTCTTCGCCACAGCCGCCTCCTGACTCTCGCCGGTCTTCCCCCTGTCACGGAGTTTGGACACGCCGCCGGAAGGGCGGGGGCCGCTGACATTACCGCCGTTGTAAGCCGAAGCCGTTGCCGTTGCCGCAGGCCTGTTGCCGCCGCACGCCCGTCGTCGCCGTCGCTGTCGCTGCTGCCGGGACGGCCGTTGTCGCCATCTCCAGGGCCTTGGGGTTGGCCCTGCTGGAGTAGTCGTGGCTGCTGGGAATGAGGGTGCTAGGTTAGGGGGTGTGGGGGTGTGTGGGTCCTTGCTACCAAACCTAGGGGGTGTGTTAAATTATATATGTTAGTATATAATTGTAGGCTTGGTAGTGGTTACTGAACATTATTGTAGAGGGTACAACACCCCTCCTTGTATCCCTCTCTTCTTTCCTAGCTCTCTTTTCTCTCCTCAACTTTCCTAGCACCTAAAACATCTCGCCATTTCCATGGCTCCTCCTAGCTCCTAGCTAAACCTCATGCCATTTTATGGCTTCCAAGCTAAGCTAGTCTTCTCAACAACTCTAACATGGTATTGAGCTAGGTCAGTTTTTTTTGTTTTGTTTTTTTGTTTTTGTTTTTTTCGTTACTCACGCTTCCGCCGTTACTCACGCTTCCGTTGTTACTGTAGCTTCTTTTTTCGCGCATGTGACAATCTTTCCATTTCGCGCACCCCCTCTGCCCTCCCATTTTGCGCTTCGTAGCCTCGAGTTCCCCCCCCCCCCTAGCATTCGATTATTTCTTTCGTGCGGTAGTTAGCAGGCCGGCATGCCAGCCAGCGCGCTAGCGAGCTCGCCAGCCAACGCGCCAGCTAGCTAGCCAGCCAGTTAGCCAGCTCGTTAGCCAGCTCACTCGCCAGCTCGTTAGCCAGCTCACTCGCCAGCCGCCTTAGCAAGCTCGCCACCAGCGGTGCTAGCTAGCTTGGCGCCAGCAGTGCCAGCCAGCTTGCTGCCAACAGCTTCCGCTGCTGTAGCTCGCCGCTAGCAACTAGTTGCCAGCAATGCCAGCCAAATAACTGCCAACGACTTCCGCCAGCTCGCCGCCAGCAGCTAGTCATCCGCAGCGCCTACCAGCTCGTCGCTGGCCAGCTCGCCGCTGCGACTGCCACTGCCGCTGCAGCCATAGTCAGCCGCTGTCACTGCAGCCGCCACTGCCATTGCAGCCGCTGCCACTGCTGCTGCTGTCGCCACCACTATTGCCAATAGTGCCTCTCCGCGACAGCCACTACCGCTGCCACTGTAGCTACTGCCGCTGCCACTGCTACAGCTGCCACTGCTGCCGCTTGCTCTGCAGCTACTACCACTACCGCAGCTCCTGCAGTTACTGCCGCTGCAACCATTTACGCCACCGTTGCTGCCACTGTTCCCGCTGCTACTGGCACTGCCGCTTGCGCTGCCACCGCTGCCACTGCCGCAGTTGCCACTGCTGCTGCCGCCACTGCCCCTGCCGCAACTGCTGCAGTCCCTACCGCTGCCGCAGCCATTGCTGCCACTGCTGCCCATGCCGCTGCCGCTACCGCCTCTCTGCTGCCCTTGCAGCCACCGCTGCCATCGCTGCCCTTGCAGCTGCCGTTGCAACTGCTGCCCTTACAGCGCCACTGCCGCCGCTGCCCTTGCAGCCACCGGTGCCGCCACTGCCACTGCAGCTGCTGCTGCCACCATTGCCGCGGCTCGCCCGTAGCTATGAAGCCGCCTCTGCTAGCCAGCTCGCAGAGCTGCCACCGCTATCCAGCTCACTGCTGGCCCACCGCTGTTACCATTCCGCAGCTAGCTAGCAGCCGCCGCTACCACCAACTCCTGCTGCAGCCCTTGTCCCGGCTGCCCCTGTAGTAGCTGCCCTCGTTGTCCCTGCTTCTGCCGCCTCTGTCTTCCCAGCCGCAACTGCCAGCATGGCGTCGCCCGGCGTCTTCGTCCTGCGCCTGGATGGAGAGGGGCGGGCTGTCGGTTTTGCCGTTTGGCAGGAGGTAGTTCTCCTTCAGCTCACGAGTCAGCGCGTCGATGACGAGTCCGTGGACGCCCATATCTCTGGTGAGCTCCATGCTGTCCCCCACTCGGGCGCTCTTACTACTGACGCAACGTTTGCGCAGCCGGCTGTTCACGCTGCTGCTCGTACTGCCTACTTTGTCTGGGTCGCCATCCTCAGGTGCCTACCAGTTGACGAGCACTCCCACTTTGTGGGTGCTGCATCAGCCTGGGCACTCTAGCTGGCTATCCTCGCTAAGTACTCCATCCCCTCGTCTTCCACTCTTGGTCGTCTCCTCCCTTTCTTCCACCCTGACCTGACGTCCTTCACCACTGTAGCAGACTTAGTCGAGCACCTGCACTCCCTCGAGGCCCGCTGGCGTGCGGCTTGTACTGAGGCCTAGCTAGCACTCGTCCCGCCCCCCCCCTTGCCACTGTCTACTTCCTTGTCACCTGCCTCCCTGACTGCCTAGCCCCTGCTCGCGACGCGCTCCTCGCTCGTCACCCCTCTGAGCTCACCCTTGACCTCTTCTCCACCTCCCTGACTGAGGTAGAGGACCGCCTCCGCGCCATCGCTGGTTCCACTAGCGCGTTGACAGTCCCTATCTTTCAGGGCAGCTCCCTTCCCAGTGACAGTCCCTGCCTCCGCCTGTGTTGCTGAGACCGCAGCAGCTACCTCTGTCCCCGGCCACTCCTCTAGCGGCAAGGG